GCATACAAGAGGTTGAATGAATCCCAAACAGGATAGATCCTAAATGAAAACCAGCAAGACATACCATAACGAAACTTTCCCAAGCCAAAGATTGGGAAAGAATCCCAAGTGCAGCTTGGGAAAAATGGAAAGTTACCTACAAAGAAGAACCAGTAAGACTGAGTAAGCTCTGATTTCTCATCAGAAACCATGCAGGTAAGAAGACAATGTGATGACATATACAAAATTCTAAAAGAAAAACCCTGACAACCCAAAATCATATACCCAGCAAAGCTGTCCCTCAATTATGATGGCAAAATTAGGACACTACCAGATAAACATAAATTAAAGAATTTGTAATAACCAGACCAGCTTTACAAAAAACAACAACAACAACAAAAAACTTAAAGTTATTTTTTGGACTGAGAACCAACAATAGCAGAGAACAACCTGAAGTTAACATTCACGATAATACCACCAGAATTCAATCCAGGTGTAGAAGTATTTTAAGTAAAGCAAGCCTACAAGACTGAAAATAGGGAACCAGAGATATCAATATATAATGAAGTCAACTACAAAGCAAAAAGAAGGAATGGTGTAGATGCAGAACTTCCAAATGGTGAGAATGTAAAGTAGATTTCAAGACTGGTGTAAACAGGAAAAAATTGGTAACCTCAAAGAAAAGAAGTGCACCTTTACATCAAAATAAAAAAGGAAACCCAGAAAGATTTAGTAGACACAACACAACAGAAATGAACAAAACCCACAAAGACAAATGAACTCAGCTCAGAAAATTATGTGGAACAAAGAAAGCAATAAATCACAAAATAAAAAAACCCAAAACCACACAGCAAAATGACAGCAATCAATTCACACCTGTTGATGTTGTTGTTGTTGTTAAGTGCCGTCGAGTCGTTTCCGACCCATAGTGACCCTATACAGGGTTTCCGAGGAGCGAACTGGTGAGCTTGAACCACTGACCTTGCAGTTCAAACAGCTTTGCAGTCTGGTGCATTAACCCACAGCGCCACACCAGGACTCCTGTTGATAGTTTTACTGAATATAAACGGATTAACTGCACCATTCAAAAGACAGAGAGGAGCAGAATGGGCAAGAAAACAAGATCCTTCAATATGCTGTTTACAGGAGACATTTCATGTACAGACCGAAATAGACTGACAACAATCATAGGATTGGAACAAATGTATCAACCTAATGGCAACACCCAAGCCATGGTCTTTCAATAGCTTCATAGGCATGTGAAAGTTGGACAATGAATAAGGAAGTCCTTAGAAGAATTGATGCATTTGAGTTTTGGTGTTGGAGAGTGTTAAACGTACCATGGACTTCTGTGTTGAAGGAAGTACAACCAGAATGCTCCTTAGAAGCCAGAATGGCCAAACTTCATCTCTCATACTTCGGACATGTCATCACGAGGGACAATTTCTTGGAGAAGCACATCTTACTTGGTAAAGTGGAGGGTCAGTGGAAATAAGGAAGACTCCCAACAAGTTATATTGGCACAGTAGCAGCGGCAGTGGGCTCAAGCGTAGCAAGGATTGTGGGATTAACGCAGGAGTGGGCAGTGTTTTGTTCTGTCATGCATATGGTCGCTGCTATGAGTCGCTACTGACCCAAGGACGCCTTATAAAAACAATCAAAAAGGGGCAGGCGTAGCAATTTTAATCTCTGATAAAAGAGGCTTTAACATAAAAACCAGCATAAGAGACAAAGAGGGACATTGTATCATGATTAGGGGGTCAATTGAACAAGAGGACATAACCATAATAAATATGCCCCCAATGAAAGTGCCTCAAAATATACAAATCAAACTCTAATCAACTGAAGAAATCAACAACTCTACAGTAATAGAAGATTTTAATATACCATTTTTGATGAAATGCAAAACAACTAGAAATAAACTCAACAAAGACACAGAAAACCTAAACAGTTAGCCAACTTGACCCTGTAGACTTACACAGAGCCTTATCTTTGAATTCCATTTCCCATTGACCTTCCCCCTCCCCCCCACTTTCATTCAGGGTTAGAAAGAGGAAGGTGACCTCTGCTAGAGAGAAAAGGCAGGAGGCAGAAGAGAAGAGGAGAAGAAGAGAGACGAGCCATTTCCCATTGACTTTTGAAGTCCCCTTTGTAAGCCTTGCTACCTCACAAACACAGCAATTCCTTTGTCCTCATATTACCACAATGAATTATCACCATTGTATAAGAAAGCGGGTTAGCATTGAGCTGCTAATCACAAAGTCTGCAGTTCAACCCAGCAGCCACCAACCATCAGGCTATCTGCTCCCATAAAGAAAGATTTAAGCATCAAAACACTCAGAGAGCAGTTCTGTTCTGCTCTGTAGGGTTGATGTTGTTGTTAAGTGCTATCAAGTTGGTTCTGACCCAGAGCAACCCTGTAGAGGGTTTCCTAGGAGTGACTGGTGAACTTGAACCTCCAAACTTGTGATTCAAACTGACTTTGCAGTCCAACTCGTTAACCCACAGCATCACACCAGGACTCCAACATTAAAATAGACCCTTGTACTGACACAAAATTGATTGGATGGCAGTGGGTGAATGGGTAATAAGAAAAACTATTGCTTTGTTTTATATATTGTTGTTGTCTGTTCTGACTCATAGTGACCCTGTATAGGGATTCTGAGGAGTGCTGATGAGTTTGAACCACCGACCTTGTAGTTCAAACCAACCGGTGCTTTATCACACTGCCTTACATATCAAACAAATATATTGCAGCATAATAAAGTACTGGAAACTTGGTGACTTAAAACAACACCCCCCCCCCCTTTTTTTATATATATGAGGGGGTTTCAAAAAGTCCATGGAAAAAATTCCATTTCCCACAAATGTTTTGAAGCCCCTCCTACAGTAGTTTCCCAGGTATGGCTTGGCTCATGGGTCCCATTCGGTACTTTCAAGCCATCCCTGACTCAGCAACCCAATATTCAACAGAAGAGAACACTGCCCAGTCCTGTAGAAACCTCACAACTGGTGCTGTATCTGAGCCCATTGTTGTGTCCAGTGTGATGGTCCATCTAGTTGAGGGTCTTCCTGTTTCACTGACGTCAAGACAGATTTCTGCATTCTTCTGGCAAGCCATGGTCTATTAAATATTCTTCACCAACACTGTTCTGCACCGCATCAGTTCTCCTGAGGACTTGGCCTCGTCCTTTGCTTGCAGGCTCATAAGGTGGTGGCTGGGCTGCGTTCTCATCTGGAGGCTTGGTTGTGGACAAATCCACTTCCGCGCTTGCTCAAGTTTGGGGCAGAATTCATTTCTTACCCTCCTGAGGTATAATTGTTCTGAGAGTTGCCCTGAAAAGCATTGCTGGTTGAGAATTGTCTCAGGAAAGCAGGTTGGAGTTGGGGGTAAGGTTGACAGGATGGGGTGACGGTTCGTGTTAAAATTGGGACTAGAACTCCACATATAGGCATGCCACATGTTAGTCTCCCTCCTGGGGAGTCAGGGCTTGCAGCTCATGGTTTCCTGAGAGCACCCTTAGCAGGGTGTCTGTCTGGTTGTTCACCCCTTGGTGTCTCTAGAGACTGGGGGTCAGGACCCTGAAGCGATGAATCCAAGACTGTCCCTATTAAAGGACAAGCAATGAAGCAGAAACCAGAGTTTGGAAGAGAGAGAAGCAAACAGGGTCTGAGGTGGTCCAGGTGGCTTTGGAGGAAAGCGACATTGAAGGATGGATTTGGACCACATTGGTGTCTGTGGGTCTGCAGGATGGGTGTGTGTTGGGCGTGCAGATCTGCCTCTGTATGTGCGTGAGCGCGTCTGACTCAGGGTTTTCCCGTGTCCGTGTCGCTGTGGTTTCCTGTCTTTGCATATTCCGTAGTATCTGTGTGGCTCTATGCCTAGGTGTCCGTGTGTCCGTGTGTTACTGACTGGATATGTGAGGTTCTAGTCTGGCCTCTCTCTTACCGCTGCCCACCACCCCAGCTGCTAGCAGTATGCACTAAAAAGATAGGCTGCATTCCCATAGGGCAGGCTGTCTGCCCAGGATCCTGTCCCTGGGACCCCTGTACAGGCTCAACCTAGAGGGTGAAGCACTCCGGAAGCTCCCAGCATGCTCCTCTCCTGGCCATGGACCCAGGAAGTTATGGGTGAGGAGAGGGACAATGCAGGTCAGTGGGCTGTTGAAAGTAACCATCTGTTCCTCTGGAAACATCTGTCCCTTTGGCATCTTCCCCGCCTATGTTCCCATGCATTCAGTGTTCAGGAGCCTGATAGTATTGTATCTGAAGATGGCAGCGAACATCTTCTCACAAGTCCAACCAGAGGGCTCTGGAACTGTCTCCAGGTCCTTACCCACCTGTATGGTGCCCTTTGCCTTCTCCTCACTGCAGCTCATGGCTGCCTCTCCTCCGTTTCTAGTCCTGAAGTGGACACCGGAGCCATTCTGGTCCTTCATTTTGTGACATCTCTGGCCAGCACCGATTAATCAGGCGAGGCCCAGCCATCTTCCTCAGGGTACAGGAACCAGCATCTCTGTGTGTTCTACCCTCTCCCCACTGCGCTCAGGGTGGTCTTCCTTGGATGGGCGGGGTGAGCAGCAGGCACGGTACAAACTGAAGCTGGCATGGGAATTCTCAAGGACTCTGAAAGGAATAGGAAGAGTTTTGGAGAAGACATTCTCCACATCGCTGTTACCTAGTTGCATTGATAGAATTCTGAAGTCCCCATACAGAGCTCAGAGGAAGGGCTCTAGTTTTCGGGTCTTTTCACCAGGACACATTGCCTCAGAGGTCCAGAGGTGAACTTCAAAGATCCTGAGCAGCGAGGCCCTCCTAGCATCTACCATCAATCCTGGGGGATATTATTGCAGCTCTCGAGTTTATACCCTACCATGAAGCTTTTTGGTTCTGATCTAACTCCTGAGCTCTGAGGGAAGGACTAAGTTAGGGCTGTGCTAAGGTTACGGAATATGATAAACAAGATTTCATTCCCTCAGCATCATCCTGTGAGGGAGTTCATAGACTCACCCAGTCTCTTCTCAGCTCTTGACTTTGCTGAGAACTCGGAACCCTGAGGGCTTGGTGCAGCTCATCTCACTGCCCCCTAACTCTTTGGCATGGGACTTGGTCAGTATCATGAGTTCATGCAGGGCTGGGCAAATAGGAGCCTGTGGGGACCAAGGGAAGGAGCTGTCCACCCTAAATCAGGATGTGTGCACACTAACCCTGGCTTCCCACCTATGCATGGTGACCTTGAGTCACATCCCTTCACTCTGACCTGTCATCATGCGGGGAGGAGTTGCCTGCCTCAAGACCTCATTAGGAAACACCCAGAGAATGTTGGCATGGCAGGCTAGTGCCCGCCTCCTCTGGGGAGCACCCTGTGGGCTGGACCACAGGTATCCTTTAGATACAGAATTACTGTCTGACCAGGGACACACCCATGCTTCTTCCCACCCTGGTTTTTCTGCTTTGTCCGTGGGCACACTCTGCTAAGCACTAGGATCCTGTGAAGTGATTCCAGCCACCTCCTCTTGATGTCTTTTAGCTTCCTGATTCTCTTCCCAGTGAAACTCATTTGCGTCCATCCCATTTTACACTGTGAGTGGATTTTCTGCTCTGGACTGTAAAATGTAAAAATCCCTACAATTTCTCCCTTATGCTGTCTGGTCAAGACCATGGCATGCTGTTCAAAGAATTCATACCACCATTTATAGTCTTCCCTACCTGCCTCCTGTCCTGCCAGCCCTTGGGGCTTAGGGACAAAACCCTCTCCAACTCCTCAGATCTTCATCTTAGGAGGACTTCCTCCATAGAACTGAGGGTCCGGGGAGATGGGAAACAGGCAAAGGAGCCCAAGCAGGATTCCCGCGTGGGGGAAGAACTTGTATCAACAAGGGAGAAGCAGGGAGGGTGGATTCTATCTTTTGGTTTTGACATCTGTCCTACTGCTTTTGCAAATCATCAAAGCATCTGTTCAAGGAAGGATCGCTATAGCACCCCCCCACCCCCAACCTTCCTCAGATCATGGGCACTTGTACCTACCAGATGTCAATTAATGATTCGTGTCTACAGGTGGACAACAGTGTATTGATTTCAGACTGCTGCTGGTCAGCACTGTTGCCAGAGGGCTCAGGGCATCATGGGAGCCATGCCTGAAGATCAGCCTGAATTTTACCCTTCATGCACCTTAGACAAAGGCCTTGTGTTCTCTGCACAGCGCTCTTCTCCACAGTTATGTGACCATGGGAGGAGTTATGTGGACTGTGATCTGAATGACGGATTTCAGTTGATTCTCTAATGTGAAGAAGACCTATAGACCTCCCCACCGTCTCCAACCCTTTGACACACCAAGAAGAGAAAAGAAGAGGCAAATAGGCAGCGGCTCTTTGCTTAGAGGTGCGTTTGGGTTAGGCTGTGCCCAACCACTGCTTTAGTAACAATGACAAGAGGTGCAGGGGTTTGGAAGCTATAACTATGGGAATCCGTGAGGCCTTCTGGGAGACCAATGTTTCCTTCTCAGGTGAGGGTTGACACCTAGGCTGGGTTCTGGTCCTGGACGGCACAAGCCACTCGAGAAGAGTGTCGGCGACATCGGCGGAGGTGGTTCATGATAGAGGACAAGGAGAATTGATGAGAATGATGAGGGTGCTGATTGTCCAGGGTCTGGGGACCACCCAAGGGGTCCTGGCTCCTGCATTTCTCAGCAGGAGGAACCTGAGACTTGGGCTCCCCCATGGTTCTCTCTGTGCCAGCTTGCCCCTTAGGGTTTCTGGCTGGAACTAGGTTTTTTGTTGTTGTTGTAAAATACATGGATTCATCATCATTTGTTTGGGGATGAATACAGTCCAGGAAATGTCTCATCCTGGTTGTGAACCCCGAGTCTGGATGGCTAGGGCTCTTGTGAGTGCGGGCTGTTCTCACCTGCCTCTGTGAGACAGGATCCAGTGAATCTTGGGCCTGCAAATATTTGCATGGTGTAACTGGACCCATTAAAGGCTGTCCTTGTGAAGTCTGGGGCACCGCAGCCTGCACTGTCCCAGAAGGCCCTCCTAGCTTAGGGTTATGGCCATGCTCTGGGAGCTTTCGCTGCTGGGAGTCATTGGGAGTCTGCTGACAGCAGGCAGCAAGGTCAAAGCTCTGGTTCCTCTTCCTGAGAGCTCGGGGTGTCCTGTCCACAGGTGTCTCTGCTGGCCTCTGGTCTTCAGCTATGACTGACCGGAGCCTGGATTTTGCATCCTGTTCTCCATGGTCCCCTGCTGGTTTGGCATTTTCATGATTGCTTGCCAGCAGTGTGGGGACTTGGGCTGAGTCCTTGCTCTTGCCAGGGCCTTGAGACTCAGGGTACCAGACCTTCTCCAGGCTGGGGCTGTTCATTCTGGCTTCCTCCTGCACACACACCACCTGGGCATTGGTCAGGTCTCCACTGGGCTCTGAGATCTTGGAGAGCCAGTGGACAGGGACAGACCTTCTGGACTTCTGGCTCTGCTGTACTGCCTTTAATTCATTTATCACCAGGTCTTTAAGGTGAACCCATTCTGGAGGTGGGGCATATGGAGTGTCTGGTGGGAAGGGGATTTTATGCAGGGGTGGTCTTCTGCAGCTGTTTAGACTCCCTAAAGCCTCCTGAGTTGTTTTATGCTGTTGGGCTGTTACATGTAGGTCCCTGGATTCCCTTACTTTTACGGGAATGCCCAACTGCTTTTCTAAAATGAATTTTTTCAAATAAAAATTGAGTTTGGTGATGACAGCTGCCTTGTCTGAGTGTGGAACGTCAGTATCTGTCAGACTTCCTAGAGGTGTTAGCGCCACTTTTTCCTGCCCCTGTGCCCCAGTCTTCTTGTCCTCTTGCAAGGCCGGCTCCAGACTTCCTCCTAGTTCTTCCCGGGAGACCGTCTCAGTCAGAGGCTCTGCTGTGGTTTCACCAGAATCGGGCATCATCTCTGCATTAATCATTGCTGGGACCAGGGGTGGAGAGAGAGCCCCAGGCAGCCCTGACAGGAAGGCCAAACACTTGTGCTGGAAAGTAGCCTCCAGGTGCTCATTGGTTCCCTCGGCCAGGGATGGGGACAGCTCAGTGTGCTCCATGACAGCACCTGGTGAGATGTGTTGGTACTGATCAACGGCCGCTGGCATCCAGGTCACAGCTTTCTGATGTTGGTCTGGCTCTAGAGACTGGTTTCCTGGGATGGATTTATAGGCATCCACTGCCAGGCTGGCAGGAACTTTGCAGTCCCGGGAGAGAGAGTCATGGTCAGAGACAGGGCACCGGTGGGTCAGCCAACATGTAGAGTCTCTGTAACTCTGCAGCACAGTGTGGACCTGGGTGAGCAGGTGTGGCCTGGGGAGTAACCCAGGGGTGGGTGACAACTGATCAATAGCCCCATTGACTTCTGGGACTGCAGGTGGTGGGAGAGTCCCCCTCTCCAAGGTTGTGCAGTCCCCAGGTAGGGGCTGCAGACCAGCAGGGGACAGGAAGTGCTGGATGGACAGGATGGGCAGGCCCCAGTGAGGGTAACTCAGCCTCTTCTGGAGGTGGAAGTCTCGTGGTGTTTGTACATGATCTGGGAAGAAGAGTAGTTCCCTGGTGAGGTCTGAGATGAATTTTCCTGACCAGGAATTGTCCAGGACCCCAGGAGACTGGGCTGTGACACAGAACTCATACTGCACGGCGCACTGGGCACGCTGAGATCTTTGGAAAACCACTGGCGAGGCCCACCTAAGCTGTGGGAACCATTCCAAGACTTCATACACAGCCAGAGCCAGACATGGGAAGTTGATTTGGATTTGTGGATGGTCAGGTAGACAGTCCCAATTTGGGCTAGATGGAGAAGAAGGTGGGCCTGGCTGGAGTGAGTTATTAGGCAGGAGGGGGAAGGAGAAGAGAGCATTTAAGAGAAAAGGAAGATTCCAGGAGAGCTGGGACCTCCTCCTGTCCATGGAGAGGTCTTGGGAGCCCATGATGGTAATAGCAATTGGGGCCTCGCCATGTTGACAAATACCAAATCCTAGGCTGGGCATATGGACCAGATAACCCTCTGCGTCTACAGTCTGTCCTCCAGGTTGTGTATTGAGGTCATTTAGGATTTCAAAGGCTGCAGAGAACAAAGACAAAAAGCCAGAGTATCTATGAGTTTCAGGCAAGGACACGTCTGTTGTGATTCTATTATGAGACCCTCAGAATCTGAGAAGGCCCGGAAGGGAAGCTTACAGGAACCCCAGGAATTGTGGGAAATGGTCCCAATTGGTTCCCTACTGTCTTTAGATTGATCATTTAGGATGGAAGGAACTGGTTGGCTATTTCCAGTCTGTTCTAACAGCTCTGGGTCC